CTGCTGAGCTTTGGGCAGAAGATGGCCTGCAGCAGCATGAGCTCGGTAATGACTGCGCCTGGGACGGACTGGTGGCAGTATGATGGAGCGAGCTGCTCTATCATATCACCAGCTCTCAAATTAGCCTTGACTGATGAAAGACTACCATGGCAGAAGCATCAGTTCCTCAAAGTGGTTTCATTATGAATTGCTTTAGAGACAAAACATTTCAGACAAGTTAAACTATGCATTTAGCAGTTAGGAGAGGCTACATTTTCATAAAAATGAAGCATTGAATACTGCAAATTCAGAGACATGTTTGAAGCAAAGAAGGAAAACTTATTACAGATAAAGAACATTAGTAATATAATTAAAAGTGGGAATAAAACATTTAAACAGTTTGTTTAATTTTTAAAGCTATTTTCAAAACTCATATAGCTAATGTAAGAATGCTATGTGATCTTTTTTTAATTGCTTTTTATTTATTTTTTTATTTTTGCTGTGTTCTTATTTAGCTGGAGATAAAAGCAAGCTTTATGCCCATGGCCTTAAAAGGAATTATTAAAATAATTTGGTGTAAAACTAAAAGTATCTGAAAGGACAATGTGCACATTTTCTTCTCACGTTAATATAAATATTTTTAGTCCATTTAATTTTTTTTTTTTAACAAAACCAAATCACCCCCCGGATGAATGAAGTATTCTGATTGTGATAAATGTTATTTAGCTTTTTCTCAGTAGATTTGTCGTAGTTAAGTACTGCCACTATTCCTTACCAATCGTTCTCCAAGTCTCTGCAACTCTACTGGGGTTATTAGCAAAACACATTTCCAATAGATATGATGTTTGTTTTGAAGATGGTTTTGGAAAGCTTTCAGGACTTTCAAAAGTTTCGCCCCGTGATTTCACATGGTTCACATTATTTTATCACTTACCCCAGCAGGATTAAATGTTTTAAATTTGCAACCCATCTATATATTTATTTACCATGTTTTGCAGCCACTTCAAGATGAAGTGTGGATCTGTAAACAGTAATATATTGCATGGGGAGGTGTGTGTGTCCTTCTTTACTTGCAGCAGGACCTTGTGTTATGACCCGTTAATTATTAGTCCATCATCTTATGTGGTGCCTGTGTCATTTACTATCCACTGTCCAATTGTTGTCCAATGTGTGATTTATATCGCCTCGTTGCGTCAATATCACTTACAGTACCTGCCCTCTGCCCCCCCTTCCTTACCCAGGAAGGAAATGGATTCCTGAGAGGCAGAGGGTATAAATGCACAGAGATAAATGTAGTCATGCACACGGCTACATGTTGGGCACAGTGCCGGGGCCTTGAGGATCAGCATTTATGATATCCATTAAAAGCAAAACACATAGATTATTTTAAAAATGGGTAAAGGGCTCTTAGGCCCCGTCCACACAGAGATGAAACCGATTTCGAACCGAAGTCGATTTCAAAAAAGTCTTCCGTCCACACGGAATCGGCTCAAGAAATGTGTCTGTCAAAACGAAACCGCTCGAAACCGCTGGAGACGCTGTAGTACATATGCCGGGCCTGTAAGTGGCGCTGTACTTCCGCCACAAAATACACCAAGAGCAGCGAATAAGACCCCCCGAGCATGGGCATAAGGCATAAACAAACAAGTTGGTTCATGTAGTTCTCCATGTCCACTTGTTGCTGATGGTTGTGGTAGAGGAGCTGTAGATTTGTCCACTAACATCTGTATCATGGTCAGTAGCGTCTGGAGCACGAACGCAACCCTGTGATCCGCCATTGTTGTTGTCGTTGGCGAAACGCATCAGCAATGACGCGGGGGTGAGCAGGAGATGTAGGGAGAGGCGGGGCTATGGTGTCATCGATTCAGGAAAATATCGTATAGGGCGTACACACGGAGCCGCAAGCGTGTCGTCTCCAGACTTACCCACTTTGGGAGCCGATTTCAACGTTTATCGGTTCCGGGCTCCGAAACCGCGGCTCCGTTTCGGCTTTGTGTGGACAAACCGTCTATACGATAAAGAACTTTAGTGGATTCAACTGAAATCGTCTCCGTGTGGACGGGGCCTTACTCTCTCCCTTAACTTAATGCAGTTAGCTTCTAAGCAGAAAGTGCAAGAAAAGCAATAAAGCACACATAATTATATAGGTATAATATAAGCATATAAATGACAGAAATAAAAAGCTAAAGTGTATAACATACAAACCTTATAAATAGGTATTAATATACAGTATATAAGGAGTAGTGTACATATTGGATACACTATGGGCTTCTATAGTACAGAGGTTGTTATTTGCTGCTGTTTTTGGAGATTATACCTTTTACCTGAAAAGAAATACTTGACTTCATTTTTACACTTTCCTGGGTGAAGATCAGAAAGTGTTCCTGGACCACACTTCAGAGACTCAAGCAATGTAGTAGCTGCTGCACACTGACACATGTTAGTGTGCATTATGTGTACGTACGTATATTGATTAAGCCTTAGTGACAAATATCAAGATGAGAAAACAACTTTGACTGTTTTTAAACTCAGCATGTTGGCACCAACACGATGTGATAGCATAGCACGATAGTGAGTAAGAATCGCAAACACAAATATGGTACTTGTGTATTTTTAGCACTGCAGTTAGAAGTGAACTGCATGCTTCCTGGTCTACAAGCACACCATAGTATTAAGATTATTATTATTATTATGTAGGGCAGCTTTCTGCAGCTCCACGAAACAGACTGTAATTAAGCTTAGTACATATTGTAATAGCTTTATATATGAACAAACAAGCATATAAACTCTCCAGTGAAATTCTTAAGTCTTAACGATATTAAGGAACGCCTTTACGGAATTTCTTACATATTGGCACAAAGTCCACTTTGAGAAAGTCATTCACAAACATATAACTAGTTCACATAAATGTCTGAAAGGAACATGTTGCTGAGTTTTAATTCCCTCAAGAGAAAATGATAAATGATTCATAAACAAGTTTTTATTTTGTTTTATTTAATAAAGTAATAAATAAAGTCAAAATACAATTGAAATCTATCTCAAATTGTAGGAACAAAGTAATTCATCCTCAGAAGATAAAGAGGTTCTGCACCATGAACACAGCTAACAGTCCCACCATATAGAAGAAAGAAAGCAGTCTACTAATCCGACCCATACTTTATCTTAGACATTATCTAAATATTCCCAACATTAAACCATAGTCCTTATCCATTTGAAAATCCACCTTTTACCACACCTTGTGCCACACATTTAAGACAAAAATACAATTTAACAGAGTCAAAAGTATAAGACACAATATATGATTATATGATAATGTGGCAAGACCGATATCATCACAAACTTATTGTACACCACAACTTGACTGATTAGTGGAGTCCCAATACTCCTGGATGGACCGATGTGATTGCTGGTTCTTGTATTGGAGGGTACCTGATGCAGATTCCTTCAGTGCACAATGGGCATCAGAGACAGATTCCCTTCATCGCTGCCTCACACCTTTCTGCACTCATCTCAACTCATCAATAGTAGGTCTCTGCCATGGGGAGCTGTTGTTCAGTTCTTCTTCCTCCTCATCACTTGGAACAGCAGCAGCACAAACTCGCCCCTATTGATCACAAGCACTCAGCGCCCAGCGTGCAGTTCTGATTGATGTTTACGGCGCTCCCTACTCCGTTTCTCACACCCACTCAATGCAAACATATAATTCAGCTCTCAACTCTTGCTGGATTATCAGCAGTTGTTGCTGTGCAGGAAGTTTCCTTTAAATCGTACAATCCTGTTTACCAAAATGTATATTTAAAAGTAACTTTAGCTCTTTTACTTCATTACGTTAGTTATTCTTTGGTCATATGGAAGCTTTTGTTAACCTGATCCGACATTTTATGCAGGTAACGTCAAATTGCTGCCTAATAATCCCCATGTTTAACTACTGTGAGCTGGCAACTATCACCAGACAGGATAAAGCCCAGAGACTGAGCCGTGGAAGGCAATAGACTGGTGCAGTGATGACTTTTTTTTGACCCGGAAATTAGCATCACAAGGGCTCCCTTGAAGAAAAGCAATGGGATTTTTCTATTGGATTCCAGAATTTTGCAGAAAATAAGATCCGTGACAAAGGCACTTCTACTTACAAGCCTTGTTCAACAGGATGATCTCCAAATATTAACACTTATTTTATGATTTTATGACAAACTCACGTTGTCACGGTGGATTCGCTAACCACCGCTAGGCTAAAAGCGGACTTGTAGTAGACCTTTTTATGAAGCAAAGGAACGTATATAATATTTACCAGTGGGGTATTCACTGACATATTTTATGTCGTAGAACAAAATGTGGCAATCTCTGCAGCTTGGGTTAACCAAGGTCTCCCTTGAAAAAGAGATCGTTGATCTCAATGGGATTTTTCACCTGGTTAAATAAAGGCGACAAACAAACAAACCACAGATCTTCTTTTTAGGCATCTAACTAAAATCTTTGAGACAAAGGAATCGGAGGTGGTAAAATGCTAACTAACTCCCGGGTTTAAGCAGTCCTTCCTGCACCACTCTCCATGACTTGCTGTTGGTCACTGCTTTTCTATTTTACTTCACGGAAAATGTATGCTTGTTTATTTCTTGAGTCACTTTTTGGTTTGCTATTGTGTATTGGATGTTGGATTGGAATAAATTATAATGTAGTGTTTTTTGAGCTTTGTTCCTGATTGTGTGTGTGTGTGTGTGTGTGTGTGTGTGTGTGTGTGTGTGTGTGTGTGTGTGTGTGGTGTGTGTGTGTGTGTGTGTGTGTGTGTGTGTGTGTGTGTGTGTGTGTGTGTGTGGTGTGTGTGTGTGTGGTGTGTGTGTGTGTGTGTGTGTGTGTGTGTGTGTGTGTGTGTGTGTGTGTGTGTGTGTGTGTGTGTGTGTGTGTGTGTGTGTGTGTGTGTGTGTGTGTGTGTGTGTGTGTGTGTGTGTGTGTGTGTGTGTGTGTGTGTGTGTGTGTGTGTGTGTGTGTGTGTGTGGTGTGTGTGTGTGTGTGTTTTTTTTCAGGGAGTGACGTACTGCGGGGACAGCCCTGCCAGCACTCTGACCATGGCTAACGTTCCCTGGCACCAGGAAGTGGTCACCTTCGTCCAGGAGCTGGCTGACATGTTGCCTCAGTATGAGATCGCCTGTGAACACGAGCACTCCAACTGTTTGCTCATCGCACACACCAAGGTAGGAACTCCGTGACTACAACGTCATACATCTAAAACATAGTGAGCCCTTACATTGTTGCTATTGCACCTACTTAAAACTGGAATAATTTAAAATAACAAGGAACAAAATCCATAAAATATGACTTGACTTCAAGTTTATTCAATTGCAAGACTTTTCTTTTCCAGCACATCTTTTAGGTGCAAAAACTGTATTGGTCCCAGCTGCTAAAATATGAATATTTGTTGGTTTCCTAAAAACCTCTATGCTAGCAAGTACATATGTCCAATATTAGTATTACTCATTGGACATTTCTGAGACATAGTGATGTGCCTTTTTCACTAAGTTATCATATTCTGTGGATAAAATGATTAGGCAAAAATAATAAGAATTTCTTCAATAATAACAATGAATATTGGTTGCAGCCCTAGTAAAAATATAGGAGGCGTGCAATGCAGTTTATTCTACAAGTAATACACTTGCAGTAAATGATATCACTGATAACAAAGAGACAAACCAATAATAATACTCTGATCTAGATTGTGTGCCTTTTTCTTTGTTGCAGATAACTTGTGATATCATTTTTAGAACACTTATCTTTGCAAAATTTGGCAAAATTATGAGGTGGTGAGTATCTAGGCTAGCAGTCTAATGACCCTATACGTGTTAAATTAAATCAGAAATCACAGCATAATTGATTAAAAAATACACTTCACTTATAACGTAGACTGTACATATGGAGGTTCAACAATCTGCTGAATGTGTACGATATTAGGTGCAGCTGAGTGGCTGCTGCTGTTTTTGCATATTTTCTAAGTTGTTATTTCAGGGTTCCCGCAGGGTCTTAAAAAGTCTTAAATTTGATAATCAGAATTTAAGGCCTTAAAAAGTCTTAAATATGTTGAAAAAAATAAGATGATCGGATTTGAAAGGTACAGTACTTCTGTGTTGCGATCGCGTCTAAATGTGTTTTGGGGGAAATGTCCGGGCTGCTAAGTAACCAGTACGGTAATAGCCTTTCAGTTCCCCCCAACAATTTGTATTGAAATAAATCAACATTTACACACACACACACACACACACACACACACACACACACACACACACACACACACACACACACACACACACACACACACACACACACACACACACACACACACAGCCTGGCGACCGGACATCTCCTTCATAATGCGCCTTCTCCTCGTTTCCCCAGCATTCACTGGATTATCCGTAAATCATACAAACAAAACCAAAACGTTGATTTATCTGTTTTGGTTTAAAAACTGAATAACGTCGGTTTTTTGGTTTTCCGAAAAACCAAAAAACGACACCGGTTCTTTTTTAAACTTTGTTAATATGTTTTGGATGCATATTGTTCTAATCTAGTATTTGTTCAGGCTGTTACATACAATTAGCCTCTGTTGCTACCTGCTGGTGGTGAGTAAATATTAAAATCAGTTAAAGGGCCCATGTCATGCTTTTCCGGTTATTACCCGTCCCCTTGTGTGTTATGAAGGTTTTTATGCATGTAAACGGTGTGCAGAGTCAAAACCCTCAAAGTACACCCTGTAGCGAGTAAAACTCTAACACAGAAAATACCTCCCCAAAACGCCTCGTTGGAGATACGTCATTGTCCATTTGATTCTTCCATTTCGTTCCGGGTACGGCATGATGTCAAGCCGTACCCGGAACGAAATGGACCAATCCGTGGAGCCGTTACGTTACGTCCGCGGAGCCGTTACGTTAAGCCCCCGCTGATTAGTCCAAATTGACCAATCCACGGACTTTCTCACACACACATCTGTGTGCAGGCAGCTCTGCTGATTTCTTCTCCCTGTGCAGGCTGATAACAGACAGTTGGGATCGCAGCGAAATTCTCTCTGCAGACCCATTCTCACAGCGTTTATCAACCTTTTTCTTACTCAATATCAAGCCACACTTATTGTTTTTACTTCGGCTGTGAGTTTGTGTGTGCTCAGGATGAGTTTCGCTGTGTATCGCTAACAAGGAAACAACACCTCCACGGAGCTCAGCGCGATTCACAACGTCCCGACCAATCAGAGCACACTGTGCTCACAGGGAGGGTGGGGGCTGGAGCTATTGGAGCTCCAACGAGCCGTTAAAGGCAGAGAGTGAAATTCAGTGAATACACGTAGTTTACTGAGATGCTGTATGAGAAACCAATGTGAGTTTGGAACATTGCACAATATAAATCTATTCTAGTAGACCTCAACAATGGAATTATGATCAGTGGAAATGGCCATGACATGGGCCCTTTAAAATTGACAACCGGTCCGCGATTTTTTTTTAATGTATCTGCCGGTCCTTGGCACAATAAAGGTTGTGACCGGTTGGGAACCCCTGCTTTATCTGACCGCGGCTCAGAGAGGATCAGTCAGTGGGTTCTGCCAAGGCAACTACCCCTCAATGATGAATGAATGATGATGAGCTGCCATCCTGGCTCTCTCTGACAGGGCAGACATTCAAGACAGCCAAATTCACACCCACACCTCAATATGTAATCACAGTTTATTTAAGAGCCATGCTCCAAATCCTCTTTTGTTTTTGTGTATCTGAACTTTATTTTCACGAGACTTGGTGCAAATGCATTTACATCTGGGGACACTCATGGGCCCATTGTCTGGAGGGAAAACAGGAAGAGGAATTACGCACATCTTGTTTATTGTTTATTTCCCAAGTTTTCTACCACAGATTTAAATGCTTTTATTTAAAATGCTGCACAAGCTACTTTTCTGAAAAGTAAACAGTCACAAGAAACAAAAGTTTGGTGTAATTTTGCTTCTGTAATACAAGATTAAGATCTTATCTGACACGATTTTGCAGAACAAATCTTCAAATATGAAGATGCAGATGTTACGTGATGGCTGGGACAGAGAGAACTTGTTCGAGAAATCTGGATCTGAATTTTCATTTTGCTAAGTGCAATGTAACAAAGTATATTCTAAAAATATAATTTTTTTGTTTAAATTTCATTAAATAGATATTTGTTGCACGTATTAACATCCTTATAAGAAGTGAACATAGTCATCCTGACATCAGCACTTTTTTGACTACTGCTTCAAAGTATTGAGTTCAGGCCAATTCATGAAGCGAAGTCCAACAGAATGTGGAAAATTATTTATATGTTAGTAACTTGCATCTAATGAACACACTCTGTGGAAGGGTAAAGTTGTACAATAATAACCAGGGAGAGCCAGACCAGTGGTAGCCAGCTATCAATCACAAGGTAGCCCCACTCTAAAGCATCCCCTGTTGTCTATTTTACTCTAAATGGGACCAGGATCTAAAAATGAACATCATGTTGTGTAGCAATGGGCAATGAGTGGAAACTAGATCTTGAGACCATACACCTGTTAAAATACTGTCTACTGACGTAATAAATCAAGTGAGAAGTGGGTTTATTTTCTCATAGACTTCTATAACATCTTACTTCTTTTTTGAGACCAGTGGAATTTCCCCCTGCTTGGATAAATTGCAAATTCAACTGCTACCACATTTGAATGAAGTCCCTCAGGACTAATTGTAATAATTATCCTCATCGACTTCTTATGAAGCGTCACAAATTAGATCAAAATGTTAAGTTGTCCTATAATTTACTTTAATAGCTGCAAAACAAATGCAATTATCATCAATTTCAGCTGCTGTACCCAGCAAATCAGCATTTTAACATACAGATGTAGCACTCCAGATAGGACTCCACCCAGCGGATTCCAACCAAAAACCCAGCGGATCCCAGTGGCTGGGAGATTCAAGCCCTCCCACTATTTCCTAAGAGGGCGTTGCCAAATTTCCCCATTTGTTCAATTTCAGGATTTAACCATGAGATGGCGCTTCATTCACAAATACACAAAGACAACTGGGTGTTGGAGACCATAGTTTGTTTGCAATGTTTGCAGCTCTGCAGTTGTGTTAGCTGAATACTGTAGCATTTAATCCCTTATTTGTTATGGTTTTCACAGGCTACTATAACGAAAAAACATCAATATTTTAGATCAAATAAAGTATATCTAATCTTATTATCTTAATTGTAATTCAATAATATATAGTCTTTATATATTAAATAATCATAATAATGTAAATGTTTACACTTCTTTATTTTTTATGCTCATACTTTTACCTTTACAATAGTTTGCTTTAATATGCAGTATTTTTTTTGTAATATTGTTGTGGTGTACACAGTACAGTAGATCGAAGTAAATCAACTCATACAGTAATGTGTTGTATTATTAAGTAATATCATACATTAACCCCATTATAGCAGATGCCACATTGAATGGATGAACACATTTATGCATCAATAATTACAACGGAGTATTTCTAAATATAAGTTGTTGGGAGGCGTCAGGAGGTGTGAAAAGGTGCCGTAAAGAGACGACGGTGCGGGACACACAAACCTGAGTAGGGCGCCGCGAATGCCCGACTGCCTCTGACGGCCTCTGACGGCCTCTGACTCCCAAAATCGGGCTGGTGTGTCCGGGCCTTTAATGAATAGTGGATAGGAGAATTCAAAAGGATTTAGGAGAAGAGACGACGTACTTATGATGCGCCAGCGGAGGTCATGAATGTGCGTCTGCTGCTGTGGGGAAACTACAGTTTTCTATACAGCGGACTACATTGATGTATAATAAGAACAACAACTACTGTAAACCCAGCGCCGTATTCTATCTAGATACTTTGCACGCGCTCCCACTTGTTGTACCTGGCAGAGCAAGAAACACTCCAGCCTTTTTATCTAAATAAATATGTGTGTTTAAATAAATGCAATTATGCTGTCAGTTTTCAGATAAAGCCACGGCATCACAATTCTTCTGTATTCTACAATATAGTTATTTTCACCTCCCGTTTTGCTTTCAACCCACCAGCTTTTATGGAGAAAATAAGTTCTATAATAATTAACCAGAGGCATGTTTCTTACTATTTTATGCATAGAAACAACAGGCTACTGTGTGTGTGAGGAATCAGCTGTTTATTTCATATGAGTTTTATTGTGGCAGCGT